ATCATCTGCCCTGAGAGAGAGAGGCGGGTGATAGTATCATGCCATGATGACATGCAGGTCCTGCAGCTCCACACAGACACTGGAGCAGATGCAGGAGTCTGCCAATTACACCTCTGCATGCGAACTGTGAACAGATGTGAGGAGCAAAAAAACTTTTTTCTGTTCTCCTTTCTTAGATAGATAGATAGATAGATAGATAGATATTCAAATAGATATTCAGATAGATAGATAGATAGATATTCAGATAGCTAGATAGATAGACAGACAGACAGACAGACAATAGATAGATAGATAGATATTCAGATAGATATAGATATTCAGATAGATAGATAGATATTCAGATAGATATAGATAGATATTCAGATAGATAGATAGATAGATGCACTCTTTAAATATAGGGTCCAGAGAGGGTTTCACAGCAATGTTACAGAACAGCCATTTTTGGTTCCTCAAAGAACTGCTTTTTCTTAGTGTGAAGAACACTTCACTAATTTAAAGAACCTTTTGCACCTTTTGTGCAATGGTAATGTTCTCCACTTTTCAAAATAAAGGTTTCAAAAGCTGGTTTTCGCAGTGACGCTTTAGAAGAACAATTTTTGGTTCCCTAAAGAAAGTTTTTCATCAACTCATGAACCCATTTAACTCCACAGAATGAATATTGCAGTAATCTCTCATTCCACATAATCTCTCATTTTATTATGTGTGCTAATGTGTGCTTGTGTGTGTGTGTGAGAGTGTGTGTGAGAGTGTGTGTGTGTGTGAGAGTGTGTGTGTGTGAGTGTGTGAATGCGTGCGAGTGTGTGTGTATGTGATTGTGTGTGAGTGTGAGGATGTGTGTGTGAGGATGCGTTTGAGAGAGTGGTGTGTGTGTGAGGGTGTGTGTGTGTGTGTGTGTATGAAGATGTGTGTGTTTGTGAGTGTGTGTGTGTGTGTGTGTGTGTGTGTGTGTGTGTGTGTGTGTGTGTGTGTGTGAGAGTGTGTGTGTGTGAGTGAGTGTGTGTGTGAGTGTGTGTGTGTGAGTGTGTGTTGATGGTGAGAAGGTAAAGTTCGTGACTGCACAGCTCATGATAGTGATTGCTGAATTAAAGCTCACAGGTCAAAGCATTACATCACGCAGATGATGACAGGACCCCCGTAACCCACCCAAACACATGCGCTTGACAGACAGGCCGCCTGGCAGTGATTCTGTCTGAACACTCTCACTCTCATCTGTATTTAACCTCAGAATGATCTCAAAGTAAGAAGAGGTGCTAAAGTCTGATTTTGTGCTGGCTGTGGCTGTTTGAAAATGATTAACAGTTGAAAACATTTGTTAGAAATGTAGAAAAGTAATCAAAAATAATCAAATGTAATCAGTTACATTAAAGTAATGGAAATAGTTACACTACTAGTTACATTTTAAATATGGTAACTTGTAATCTGTAGCCTATTACATTTCCAAAGTAACCTTCCAAAAATGACACTTTAAGCACACATTACCACATCTGACTCGTATGTTCTTCTATTGTATTTTCAGAAAAGAGTGAGTTCTTGGGTGACTTGGAGTATTATTGTTTAATTTTTTTTTAAATGTGCAAGTTAAAAAAATCTTACTGTCTCTCCTATTCTGCATGTCAGCCTCACAAATTACTTATGATGTTCTTCATTTGTAAGTTGTGAGTTTGTAAGCATCTGCTGAAGTGAATAAATGTAAATTGAATTGATCATATTTCACATCAACCTACACAAAAACAGATTTACAGTCCATGCAGCGACTGAAGACGGTGTGTGTGTGTGTGTGTGTGTGTGTGTGTGTGTGTGTGTGCAATGCATTTAATGAAAGATGCAGTGAGACTCCAGCTGATCTGAGGGTGAGACGCTCACCTGTCTGTCTTTCTCTGCTGCTTCTGTCCAACATCTGAAGCAGCGCTCATTCAGAATCAGAGACATGAACTCTTTAACCTGTGTACATCAGCAGCTCTATAAATCTTGTGCTGTAGTTGATTAAAGGCCATGATGAATGAAAGTTGGTGACATTTAACTTTACTACCATCAGCCTCATCAAAACACAGAGAGACAGGAAAGCTTGTTCGTTTTGAAAGTAAAGCTCAAACATGAGTTACTGTGGGAATTCTGCTTAATTTAGTTACCCGAAGACAAAAGAAAGCGAGTGAGAGTATTTTTATGCTGCACAGAAGCAGCATCAGACGTGCTAACCTTGGGAAAAAAGGTGCAACTTATTGAGTTATTCAATATATAAATCGACAATGAAGAAAACAATACAATAGTATATCCTTAAGACAGGGATGCAGACACATCAGGGGTTAAAAACATGACAGATGCCTCCTGTGAAGAACATATTTGTGTATTTTATGTATTTATAAAGTCTTACAGTCTTTTTAGCATGCTGATACAGAAAAAACCGTACTGCAGCTATTAAAAGAACAGCCATGATCTCATGAGCTCACTAATTATGAGGGAATGCAGAAAGCAGCGGCTCAGAATAGACTGACCTTTCATCAGTCTCACATACAGCGCCCATGTTTACTGATACTGTACGCCAGGGTTATTCTACATGAGCCCAGAGTAAACAGCCGCGGATGTGACGCAGTGCAGGATTGCATGTTGGTTTGGGTTATGACGGCCGTTTCAGGTGCAGTTAAAGCAGCAGATCCGTCTGAGAGAGTGGTCTAAAGTTCACAGACATCATGAGCTCAATGTCTCTCTCTCTCTCTCTCTCCTCCAGAACAGCTTTGATGTGTTCCTCGCTCTGTCATTTCAGCAATAAACTCAAACGAGCGCTGGGACTGTAAACAACAACCTGCAGTACTTTACAGTCCAGTTCACGGAGAGATTCTGGGACGTTACGAGCAGCGATGAGCTTCAAGAGGAATGTGTTTTTGTGAGGATGAAACTCATTAAGAGCACTGCCAAGCATCAGCAAAGACCCATCCACTCATCACTGCGGTAAAACAATTAAACGGCAGGGTAAAAACTACACTAATAATATGCTTATAATAAAATACAACCATAGTTGCACTACCAGTCAAAAGTTTTTGAACAGCAAGATCTTTAATGTTTTTTAAAGAAGTCTCTTCTGCTCACCAAGCCGGCATTTATTTGAGCCAAAGCACATCAAGAGCAGTAATATTGTGAAATATTTTTACAGTGTAAAACAACTGTGTTCTATGTGAATATCTGTTAAACTGTAATTTATTTCTGTGATGCGCAGCTGTATTTTCAGCATCATTACTCCAGTCTTCAGTGTCACATGATCTTCAGAAATCATTCTAATAATGCTGATTATTAGAAACATTTCTGATTATTATTTTTAATGTTGAAAACAGTTGTGTACATTTTTTGAGAATTTTTGATGAATAGAAAAATCCAAAGATCAGCATTTATCTGAAATAAAAAGCTTTTGTAACATTGTACTCTATACTATTCAAAAGCTTGGAGGAAGAAATGATAGAAATTAATACTTTTATTTAGCAACGATGCTTTAAATTGATCAAAAGTGAAGATAAAGACATAATGTTACAAAAGATTCCTATTTCAGATAAACGCTGTTCTTCTGAACTTTCTATTCATCAAAGAAACCTGAAAAAAATCTACTCAGCTCTTTTCAACATAATAATAATAATAATAAATATTTTTTTGAGCAGCAAATCAGCATATTAGAATGATTTCTGAAGATCATGTGACACTGAAGACTGGAGTAATGATGCTGAAAATACAGCTGCGCATCACAGAAATACATTACAGTTTAACAGATATTCACATAGAAAACAGTTATTTTAAATAGCAAAAATATTTCAATATTACTGTTTTTGCTGTATACTTTAGATCAAATAAATGCAGCTTTGGTGAGCAGAAGAGACTTCTTCAAAAAACATTAAAAATCTTCCTGTTCAAAAACTCTTGACTGGTAGTGTACTTTTAATCATTTAACAGATGCTTTTGACCTAAAATGAAAGGATTAATCTGTATGATCATGCATAATTCTTCCTGAAAATATTCCACGTTGTTAAAATCAATGAAATCCAGTCAAACTCAACAAGATTGAATAGTGACTTGGCAGATGTCACATCACGAACAAAGCTTATGACCTGCACATGATCGATGCTGAATGTGTTTGATGCAGTGCAATACAGGCTGTATTCTTATTTCGCATAATAAAGCATTTTAACATTCGTAGCCTGTATGGAAGCTCCACAGAAACACGTCTGCGTTTGATGCTCTTTCTGTTCAGAAACAAACATCTTCAAATCGCGTGCTCCTGTAAAGCTTCATTATGTATTTAAAGTTTAAAGGGAAGTACACGGCTTCTGCGTTTGCAAACGAGCGTGAGCTTGTAGATCAGCCGTTTTACGAGCGATCGTTTGGAAAATTAAAGAGTGAAGCAGAGGTCTGCGTGTCTGCGGCCGAACGCAACGCTTCCCTCGGGGCTCGAACGCTGGGAACGTTTGATGTGCTGAGAGCTGCGGAGGCCAGGTGTGTAAAACTGTACATTTGCCTCCTAAATACAAACAGGAAAGTAAAAGAGTGCTTGACCTTCTGCAGAGATGAGCCGCTCCAGCAGTAAACGGCCCTCTGTTTAGCTTCCTCGATTAGATTTATTACCCTCGTGGATTCTCCATCAGCCTTTGACTTCAGCTCGGGCTTTGATGTTTGTCTGTACGACACCGACAAATGACAGAGGAGACCCTTCATGCCAGAAATCCTGAATCTTACAGCACGTGGTTTTTCATAAATGTGACCCTGGAGCACAAAAGCAGTGTTAAGTCTCTCTCTCTCTCTCTCTCTCATTCACTCTCTCTGTCTCTCTCTTTCACTCTCTCTCTCATTCACTCTCTCTCTCTCTCTCTCTCGCTCTCATTCACTCTCTCTCTCTGTCTCTCTCTCTCACACCAGCATCCCAGTGACAGCTGAGTGGCTGCCGTGTAATTGCAGAGAAGTGAGGTCAGCAGGAGGCTTTTATCAGAGATCGCACAGCGATCAGAAACACGAGAAGAAGATGCACAGCGCAGACGGGCGGCCCCAAAGCTCCCTCTCTCTGTGCGTCACACTGGAAGTTTCTCTGGAATCGTCAGGACTGAAGTGCACAATCTGGAAGCAGAGGTAAATCACTTTTAAAAACTGTTTTTACAAAGAATTATCATAAGATGTTAAAACAATATATCAATTTGGCAGAAACTAGACAGAGGCGAATATAGTGTCATTTAAAATAGCAGCAGAGCAATACTGAAACATTTTAGATAAGTGATACTGAAACATTTACAGTGGAAATAGTGTGACACTATGACATTTAAATGAGAGAAAGAGCAACATTGAGACATTTAAAGAAGTGATAGAGCAATACTGAAGCATTTGAAGTAGAAATAGAGCTATATTTAAATATTTGAAGAAGTGACACTGAGACATCCAAAGTAGATATAGAGCAATACTGAGATGTTTAAATTAGAGAAAGAGCAATATTAAGACATTTAAAGTAGCAATAGAGTGAAACTGAGTGATCCGATGTAACGACAGAGTGATATTGAGACACTTGAAGTAGTGATAGAGCAACACAGACATTCAACATAGTGACAGAGTGATATTGAGACATCTGAAGTAAACATAAAAAGACATTTAGGCAAAGTAGCGATAGAGTGATACTGATACATTTAAAACTAACAATAGAGCGACACTGGGAAATTAAGATTAGTAATAGAGTATCACTGAGAAGTTTAAAGTAGTGACAGAGGAATACTGAGATATAATTGAGTACTATAGAGTACTATAGGCTCACTCATTCATTCTCTCCAGCATCAGTTCCAAATCTACCGACAGCCCTGCCATTTCATAATCAAATGTCTTGCAGTAAATATCGTGTAAAACCAGTGTTCGGTTGAATTCAGGAATCATTTGTGTATCTTATATGTGTCCGATGATGTATACATCTCAATTTCACAAAATTGACCCTTATGACTGGTTCTGTGCTCCAGGATCACATTTCATTATTATGCTTTCTATATATATATATATATATATATATATAAACCCTCTCTAGATATTGTATCGGTCAACCACTGATAGACACTGTTTTATATGTGAATTATGCTGATTATTGTGGAACTGACCTGTCTCCTGTATCTTCATCAGGAATGGACAGTGTGTGAAGCGTCCGTTTGTTGATTTGTGTCATTAACAGCAGAAACGAACACACTGCTCTGAGGAGATTCTGCTGCAGGAGGTCAAAGGTCACGCCAGCATCTGAGGATTGTACTGGGAAAGGGTCTGAGCGGATCTCCCACAGCTTGAAGATCCAACCCGAGTTTAGCCTTCAGTATGTGGATCATGAACTCCCTGAGAAACGCAGTATAATGCGCAAATGGACGCTGCGATGGAAACTGCCTGAGTTTGCGTGTGGACTGTGGCTGGCACTGCTGGTCAGCCGAGTGTGTGTGTGTGTGTGTGATGGAGAGTCTGTGACCGACTGCTCCAAACACGAGCGCCACACCAGGAACTACGACTACATGGAGGGAGGGGACGTTCGGATCCGACGCCTCTACAGTCGCACGCAGTGGTTTCTGATGATCGACGAGTTCGGGAACATCAACGGGACGCAGGATCCCAACAACTGCTACAGTAAGAGCGTCTTCATCTTTCTGTTGCGTGCCAAGAGCTTCACGGAAGATTTATCACTGTGCGACGGAAAATAGCATTAACAAACGTTAGATGGTGCTTATACAAATATTTTATACATACATTAATTTGGGCTGCTTTTTTGATCTAAAACAATGTGTCTAAAGCTCATATTTGGTAAAGGCCTCTTAAAGGGATAGTTCACCCAAAAATGAAAATTACCCCATGATTTACTCACCCTCAAGGTATCCTAGGTGTATATGACTTTCTTCTTTCATATGAATCCAATCAGAGTTATATTTAAAAATGTCCTGGCTCTTCCAGCTTTATAATGGCAGTGGATGGGTGTTATTTTTCAACAGTCCAAAAGAAGTGCAATAAAGTGCATCCATCCGTAATAAAAAGTGCCTCACACGGCTCCGAGGGGTGCTGACTTTCTTCTTTCATATGAATCCAATCAGAGTTATATTTAAAAATGTCCTGGCTCTTCCAGCTTTATAATGGCAGTGGATGGGTGTTATTTTTCAACAGTCCAAAAGAAGTGCAATAAAGTGCATCCATCCGTAATAAAAAGTGCCTCACACGGCTCCGAGGGGTGCGTTTTTGTAAGAAAAATATCCATATTTAAAACTTTATAAACAGTATTCTCTAGCTTCCGCGAACTGTCGTACGTTCACAATAGAACGCAGTTCCGGCGGATGACATAGGACTATGCGTAGTGTAATCTCCAGTGAGAATATGCTAGTCTTGCGAGAACCAATGTTTGTTTACAGGAGCAAAGGAAGCAAAGTTTCCGTACTTTAGCAAAGAAAAACCAGACATTTTTCTTTACAAATCCTCATTTTGTGCTTCTAATTATTGACCGGCGTTTTGTTTTGCGCTTCCGCGTTTGTCAGTTCATCCTACGTCATCCGCCGGAACAGCGTTCTATTGTGAACGTGTGTACGACAGTTAGCGTAAGCTAGAGATTACTGTTTTGTAACGTTTTAAATATGGATATGTTTCTTACAAAAACGCACACCTCGGAGCCCTGTGAGGCACTTTTTATTACGGATGGATGCACTTTATTGCACTTCTTTTGGACTGTTGAAAAATAACACCCATTCACTGCCATTATAAAGCTTAGGAGAGCCAGGGCATTTTTAAATATAACTCCAATTTGATTCATCTGAAAGAAGAAAGTCATATACACCTAGGATGGCTTAAGGGTGAGTAAATTATAGGGCAATTTTCATTTTTGGGTGAACTGTCCCTTTAAGTTATAGCAGAGAGTGTTTTCTCACTGTATGTCGGCTGGTCAGGGTTCCAGTGGGATTATGAGCAGGTCGCGTGGCCGTGTGACGAGAAGTGACAGGAGTAAAGAGAAACAGGTGTTTGGGGGGGGTATTTATAACTCTTTTTCCCTTCGCTAGAGGACTTAGTGGTCAGAAGTTATCAGATGTGGTCAGAATGGAGGTTCAGTTCAGTGACTGCAATCTAGTTTGTGTAGAGAGCGTCAAAACAACAACAAAAAATGAGACTGGAGGCTGATGCTGTGTGCATGGATACATAATCAATTATTATATGGAAAAAATAAATATTTAAATCATTGATTATTCACTTTAATGATCATGTATATACATAACATCAGCCCCAAGCATGTTTGGTTATTAGTAATCGCGGTTGTGTACGAGAAGAAAGTGGTCGTGTATGCATCTCTGCTCTGGAGGGAAAATGATTACGTCAGCTGGCGCTGAAAAGAAGAAAAATTGATACAGCCAGATGTGGCCGACAACTGCACGCACAGAGCGCATGCAAGACATGCAGTGAGGGTCAGAGAGGGACGGGAGAGAAAAGCAGACGCGTTGTGAGGCTCTGTCAGAGCTGTGCCGTGACAGCAGCTTATTATACCACTGGAGCCACTTACATGTGATGCAAACACTTCCAGACACACACACACACACACACACACACACACACACACTCACACTCACAGACACACACACACACTCACAGACACACACACACACACACACTCACACACACAAACACACACACACTCACACAAACACACACACACACACACGCGCACACACACACGCACACACACACACACACACACACACACTCACACTCACAGACACACACACACACTCACAGACACACACACACACACACACTCACACACACAAACACACACACACTCACACAAACACACACACACACACACGCGCACACACACACGCACACACACACACACACACACACACACTCACACTCACAGACACACACACACACTCACAGACACACACACACACACACACTCACACACACAAACACACACACACTCACACAAACACACACACACACACACGCGCACACACACACGCACACACACACACACACACACACACACGGAGCTCAAAACGACAAGAGCAGTGTCTGCTTCTCATCCAAACACAACAAACAGATGCTTAAGCTGTCAAATATCTGTGCAACTGGAGCTTTAACTCGCTGTAGATCATAATCAAACCATCTGATGCTAATATTTTGCTTTATAGGAATGGATTCTGAAAGGTGATTCCTGCATTATTAAACAGAATTGTAAGAATAATTTCTTTGCATATTGAGCTGAGATACAACAGAAGTATTTTAACACCCCAAAAATGGCACACTTCACCTTTAAACCATTAATTACCTCATAAACTCCCAAACAGCATCTCAAATAAAGTTTGTAATAATTACCACAGACTAACACGGACTGTTATTTAGGTCAGTGTTATTTTAGTATCACTGGCATACTATCATATGTTAATATTTTAAATTAGATTTTATTTTTATATTGTCTGCTTTCATGTCAATTTTAATTAAAGTTTTGGTAACACTTAAAGCCTTTATGTATAATGCAGAATAAAAGTAGTTTTAATGCATTAATTATGCCTTGTAATGCACCTAACCACAGTTAATACATTATAACACTTATCAATTCATTGTTACACTATACATTTTAAATTCGGTTATAATTATTTACAACAAGATATAATGTATTACAACTCACATTATGAATAATTAGGTTACACTTTATTTTAAATGCATTAAACCCTCTTATAACCCTTTACAATGCATTATACATAAAGGCTTTAAATAAAGTGTTACAGTCATTTTGTTATGTTTCTGTCATTTTTATTAGTTTGTAAATGTGTCTATATAGATTATTATAGTTAGCTAAAACCAGCGTGTCTTCATGCGCTCAGGCCGATCCGCTGTGTGTGTTTCAGGTGTTCTGGAGATCAGGACGGTTTCGGAGGGCGGTGTGTTGGCCATAAAAGGACTGAAGAGCCAGTATTATATTTCCATGAACCGCACCGGAATGTTACAGGGCAAAGTATAAAGCCATCCGTCCTGCAAACACACAACATACACCAGTTAATCAGATTCCCAGCTAACGCTCTCTCTCTCATCTTTCATTGAAGAGTAAATATAACACATGCCACGGATAATTCAGCAAACACAACACAATGCAATACATCTCGCTTCTGTCGTACCTTACGATCTGTTCTTCTTTCCCGGACAGAAAGACTACAACGACAGCTGCAACTTCAAAGAAGTGTTTTTAGAGAACTACTACACGGCGTACTCGTCCGTCAGATGGACTAAAAACGGCAAAGAGATGTTCATCTCTCTGTCACAGAAGGGCCGGCCGCTGAGAGGAAAGAAGACGAGGAAGGAGAGCATCTCTTCTCACTTCATCCCTCGAAAGTGCAGGGAAGACGAGAAGAAGCTGGCGTGAAGAAGAAACACCAGACACGCTGTTACTGCATCTGTTTGGCTTTACTCGTCTTATTCATCAAACTCTATCAATAAAACATTCACTCTGTCACACTGACACACACACTCACTCACTCACACAGAGACACTGGTAAAAGATGTTCATATATGAAAGTGTTTTGGACTCATGTAAACTAACAGTTATAAAAACTCATCTGTATTTTTGAGATGAAGCTATTTTTATATTTCAGAGAGATGTTTATGTTTCTGTTCATGGCACTTTCACCACCATTAGAGCCCAAAACAATGAAAACACCAGATAAACACTGCAATGCATTTATACAGACGTACATTCTCATTAAACACGGCAGCGCTGTGTTTGTTCTTTAAACATCACAGTTTATATCGCTCCATTTATACTGCATAAATACATTCACATCCCATCAACATTCATACTGAGGAGTTGTGATTTTAGTTTGAGACATTCCCTTCTCATTTCTACAATTCAGTGAGAAAATAATAGCAGATGCCTTGCTTCATTTTGACTCTTTTTTTGATGCATGCAATTGATCCATCAGTTCTAAGAAATACTATGTTTGTCTTCATAATCTTCCATCCAAATGTCCTAATGATTTTCCTTCCCGTCATCAATCCGCCCTCACATTGAGCCGCTTTCAGCATGCAGTCAGTTGGAGTAATTCTGGTAAACACACGATGAGTCGATGCTTTAACGTGGGAGTCTGACCGCATTTCGTTTCTCATAATCGCGCTCTAATGCGATCGTGTCCATGTGTTGCTGTGTGTTATTTATGATATTTATGTGTCGCTGGCTCTGAGTTCATGACCGCAGTGAACCGTCTGTGTTCTGGATCGCTGTGCTGCAAACACACACACAGAGTTTGCAGGAGTTTATCATTTGCTGCTAGAAATCGGAGATTTTATATGATTAAACATGTATATTGTTCCTTTCTATGGAGTGGTGTGTTGTGAGATTTGTTCCTGTGGTCTTTATCTGGACACACGACGGGTGTTTATACAGCACAGAAAACACACGCTTCTGATCCGCTTCATCAGTCACTGCATGGATCTGATTCTCTCTGTTTAACATTATAACGACTGCGAGAACGTTCATCTCCAGACATTTAGGTCCTCGTTCTCTATCAAACAAGATGTTCGGTTTGGACAGAAACTGACAATCGACAGTAAAATTCTGAACAGTGTTTTACAGTAAGACCTTTATGTTAAATCTGGTCAAATACTGGAATTTTTAGGATCGTTATCTCAGTCTCTCATTTCACGACACACCCTCTTACTTGTACAATGAAATCATTTACAATCGAATCGATATTTAATCATTTATTTTTTGATTTTCACTTTCTCTCTCTGCTCTCACACACACACACACACACACTCACACACACTCAGTTTCTCACACACACACACAAACACACTCTCTCTATCACACACACACACTAACACACACACTCTAACAGACACACACACTAACACACACACTCTAACACACACACACACCACAATTTAGGTCCCCACCGTGACACGAGTCCCCATGAGTCTGTGGACTCACACTCTCTCTCTCTCTCACACACACACACACCACCCTCCCTCTCTCTCTCACACACACACACACACACACACACACACACTCCTCTGACCCAAACAGAGTTAGTGTAGGTGAGCTCTTCTGCCAAGTCATGCAAAGGTGGATTTAGTGGATAATTTGTAACATGTTCTGAATGTAAACGGCGGCTGACGGGCCTCACACTAAAGCCACATTATTCCTCCATCAGATAAAAGGCTTTGATTCGGAGCATCTGGGTCAGGCATCACCGTCTGTGAATCTTTACACAGAACCACTTGTCATTTCATGAATATGTCTTGGGTTTTATCTTAAAAGCGTGTTTCCTTCTCGTTCATCTGAGGTTTGTTTGTTGCCTTCAGCACAGAGCATGAGTTCAGTATATCTGCGACAAACACAATCAAAAGCGTGAGCCACGGACACGTCGACTGCGTTCATCACAGCCCTGAATCTGAACGGAATCTGTTAGAGCCTAAAACAACACCGAGACTGAACATAAACGACCGGCTCACATTTCAACATCAGAAACACACCACACAAAATTAAACCTGTTTTAGAATCACTGCATCGTGACAATTAAACACAAATTCTCATTACCGTAAGGCAAAAAACAAGGATATATATTTCAGTTTTAAATTATTTATACAAGATGCAAATATTATTGTAAATATTAAAATAATTAATATTTAAAATGATTACATTAATATAAATGATTAAAATATGTATTTAAAGCTATAGATTAATATTGATAATTAATATTATTTTTTAAGATAATAATATTATTATCAAGAACTAACAAAGATGTGGTTCTTCGTGGATTCGACGGTTTTTCTGCCGGTTTGTTGACGCAAAAAATATATAAAAATATATATAATAATATATATATCAGTGGCGTTCCGTCCATATAAGCATACCCAGGCCGTCTGAAAGAATGAGTTCAGGGGCTAATAATTAATATAAACATGATTCTGACGATGACCCGAAATAAGTTGACTATTAAAAAGAACAGCTGAACATCAGTTCACAAATAAAAAATATTGGTAACATTTTACAATAAGGTGCCATTTAATGTCTTCACTAACATGAACATTTATTACAGTGTTTATTAATCTTTGTTTACATTAGTTAATACAAATACAGTATTACAGTTAGTTCACAGTGCATAAACTAATGTTAACCAACACAACTTTTGATTTTAATAGTGCATTAGTAAATGTTGAAATTAATATGAACTAAGATTAATAAATGCTGCAGAAGTAGGCTATTGTTTATTCTTAGCTCATGTTAAAACATTATTGTAAATTTTTTTCCAAAATATTGCTAAAATTGTTACTGCCTTTAGTTATTATTTTGGAATAAATATAAAAATGCATAAAAACACTATGAAATGTATAATTAGTATTAAAAAATATTAAATAAAATAAAAAATAATATTAATAAAATACAAAATATAATTATATTTGTTCTCTTTTTTATGTAATATTTATGTATAAAACTGCCTCCTCATTTTAAAACACCACTGATATATATATAGATATATATCTATCACGAAATCAGCCCAAAGCTTCAGTTGTGTGTCAGAGAAGAGTCTTACTCAGAAAAAGATGTTATTATAACTTTTTGACAGGCACCACAGAAGTTTTGGGCCGTTTTCGTGAGAATCATTCAGTATTAACACTTATATTAGTAATTATAGTTAACTTAGCAGTTTTAATCTAGTTAATAGTCACTATTTGAACTCACCAGTCCTTGAGAGTGAATGTTGTTCTTCTCCAGCTCAAACATCAGCGACGCGTCTGTTGCTAGGATACCGCCCGCCGCTCCGCTTCCTGTTTCCTGCGGCGCGGTAGTGTTTCCGGTGCGTGGTGCACACGTGGGTTGTTGTGGCGATGTCGGATCAGGAGAGCAGCGCTCTGAGCGGCCTGCGGCTCGCGTCGCACGCCCCGCTGGATGCCGCGCAGCGCGTCGGCCGGAGGAAGTGCTCGCGGTGCGGCGCGTCGCGCATGTTCTACTGCTACAGCTGCTGCGCGCTGGTCGGGCTGGAGACGCGGGACGTTCCGAGCGTCGAGGTGTGTGAATCCATAGCGACGCGACGCGAACAGAATCATCATTCATACTGGCGTCACTAATGACTTCATTTGTGATCCTGGAACACAAAACCAGTCATAAGCTGAATAAATAATCTTTCCATTGATGTATGGTTTGTTAGGATCGGACAATATTTGAAAATCTGGAATCTGAGGGAGCAAAAAAATCTAAATATTGAGAAAATCATCTTTAAAGTTGTTCAAATTAAGTTCTTAGCAATGCATATTACTAATCAACAATTAAGTTTTGATATATTTACGGTAGGAAATTTACTAAATATCTTCATGGAACATGATCTTTACTTAATATCCTAATGATTTTTGGCATAAAAGAGAAATGTATAATTTTGACCCATACAATGTATTGTTGGCTATTGCTACAAATATACCCCAGCGACTTAACACTGCTTTTGTGCTGTTAGTATTAGATTAGAACTGAGCGCATCTGAAATAACAATTCAGTGTAAAGAGTCCATTCTGTCATCATTTTCTTACCAAAACTCTTTCTTCTGTGGAGCACAAAAGGAGATGTTTAGCAGAATGTTCACGCTGCCCCTTTTTTAACATTCAGTGAAAGTAAATGGGGACTGATACTGTAAAGCTTCAATGTGACAAAAGACAACAACAAAAGTCTAAAGTTTAAGTCATTATCACAGTAACGTTAGTCACATTTCCCAGAATTCTCCAGAACTGAAAAACTAAAACAAAACAAAACCCAAAACTTGTAATATGTGGTGCTCTTTAATTTTATTTATTTTTTTTACATATTATAAGATATATTTATATTTTATTATATAATAGTATAAGACATTATGAGAAATGTAGGCCTATTCATTTGGTTTTTACGTTGTTTGTCAAAGGTCTTGAGAACCTATTGAATTTGACTGCAGACTATTATTTGAAATTCAATAAAAAAATTGAATGTGTGAGTTCATAACTAGAACAGTAACATATGCAGTAAACAGTAAAACCATTTGTGTTACAAACTAGTGTATTTATGATTATGATAATATGATAAATACCAGTTTGCAGCATAACAAACAGCTGAAATAACTGGATGCGAATGACTCGCTGTTATTGGTTATCGCCAGAGTTTAATTTAAATGTGCACAAATAGAGCTGTTATGAGTTTAATTTGTGGACCAACCCAGTTCCTCACGGTTCCTCGAGGAATGAACTGTTTTAAGAATGGTGGTTTTGGATTTACGAGTGAAATAAATTCTGCGGTGAGCATTACTGGAAGAGATGTTCTACAACACGACTTGCTCCATAAATCCACAACCACTTTTCTAAAAACCCACTGGAAATTCCTGAGGTGGACTCACGGCTCGCAAATACTCATTCTTCTCATAGTTTAAGAAAAACAAAGTGATTTGAGAGCAAGGTTTTCGGTTAATGTTCGCCACATGCGGCTATCAAATGAATAAACATCTCCTTTTATGACCCTTTGGAAGAGTTCTGCAGTCAAACGCTGTGTTTGTTAAAGCTCACGTCTGCTGTTTTCTAGCTGCCGGTGAAGATCGACATCATCAAACACCCCAACGAAACGGACGGGAAGAGCACGGCGGTGCAGGCCAGACTGCTAGCGCCGCGAGACGTCACCATCTACACCTACCCCTGCATCCCTGAGCTGGACCAGAGCACAGAGAATGTGAGCCGTAGGGCTGTCAAATAAAATATAGAATTTTTAATATTCATCAAATTTAAAATATAAATCCACATTCGAATGCAAAAACACTGCATTCCAATTTCAGCGTCAGGCTGCTTTATCAGTGGCCCACGAGATGCGATGACTATGTAAGTGTCGTTGCATTTTAATGTTTTTGTTAGTCTATCCAGTTGAAGCCACTAGATGCGGCGCTGCTGCGTTCTTCATTCAAAATATTGCGGAAAAAGAGAACATCAATGCGAGAAGATCTCATAATCGAACAAAGCCAACCAATATTTAAATCTCGTAATCGAACAAAACTGACAAATATTTAAATCTCAAAAGCAAACAAAACTGTCAAATATTTAAATAAAAAAATCGGAAAAAAAACGACAAATATTTCAATCTCAAAAGCAAAAACTGACAAATATTTAAATCGAAAAATCGAAAAAAAAAACTACAAATATTTAAATCTCAAAAGCAAAAAATGACAAATATTTAAATCGAAAAATCGAAAAAAAAAACCACAAATATTTAAATCTCGTAATCGGAAAAAAAACGACAAATATTTAAATCTCAAAAGCAAACAAAACTGACAAATATTTAAATCGAAAAATCGAACAAAATGACAAATATTTAAATCGAATAAAAACCGACAAACATTTAAATCTCACAATCGAACAAAACTGACAAATATTTAAATCGGAAAAAAAAACAATATTTAAATCGAAAAATCGAACAAAACCAACAAACATTTAAATCTCATAATCGAACAAAACTGACAAATATTTAAATCGAAAAATCTAAAAAAAACTACAAGTATTTAAATCTCAAAAGCAAAAACTGACAAATATTTAAATCTCAAAATCGAACAAAACTGACAAATATTTAAATCGAAAAATCGGAAAAAAAAGACAAATATTTAAATCTCAAAAGCAAACAAAACCGACAAACAATTAAATGTCAAAATCAAACAAAACCAGCCAATATTTAAATCTTGTAACTGAACAAAACCAACCAATATTTAAATCTCGTAATCGGAAAAAAAACGACAAATATTTAAATCTCAAAATCGAACAAAACTGACAAATATTTAAATCGAAAAATCGGAAAAAAAAGACAAATATTTAAATCTCAAAAGCAAACAAAACCGACAAACAATTAAATGTCAAAATCAAACAAAACCAGCCAATATTTAAATCTTGTAACTGAACAAAACCAACCAATATTTAAATCTCGTAATCGGAAAAAAAACGACAAATATTTAAATCTCAAAATCGAACAAAACTGACAAATATTTAAATAAAAAAAAAACGACAAACATTTAAATCTCATAATCGAAAAAAAAATATTTAAATACAAATCTCAAAAGCAAACAAAACTGACAAATATTTAAATCGAAAAATAAAAAAAAGACAAATATTTAAATCTCAAAATCGAACAAAACTGACAAATATTTAAATTGAAAAAAAACGACAAACATTTAAATCTCATAATCGAACAAAACTGACAAATATTTAAATTGAAAAAAAACGACAAACATTTAAATCTCATAAACATTTAAATCTCATAATCGAACAAAACTGACAAATATTTAAATTGAAAAAAAACGACAAACATTTAAATCTCATAAACATTTAAATCTCATAATCGAACAAAACTGACAAATATTTAAATTGAAAAAAAACGACAAACATTTAAATCTCATAAACATTTAAATCTCATAATCGAACAAAACTGACAAATATTTAAATTGAAAAAAAACGACAAACATTTAAATCTCATAAACATTTAAATCTCATAATCGAACAAAACTGACAAATATTTAAATTGAAAAAAAACGACAAACATTTAAATCTCATAAACATTTAAATCTCATAATCGAACAAAACTGACAAATATTTAAATTGAAAAAAAACGACAAACATTTAAATCTCATAAACATTTAAATCTCATAATCGAACAAAACTGACAAATATTTAAATTGAAAAAAAACGACAAACATTTAAATCTCATAAACATTTAAATCTCATAATCGAACAAAACTGACAAATATTTAAATTGAAAAAAAACGACAAACATTTAAATCTCATAAACATTTAAATCTCATAATCGAACAAAACTGACAAATATTTAAATTGAAAAAAAACGACAAACATTTAAATCTCATAAACATTTAAATCTCATAATCGAACAAAACTGACAAATATTTAAATTGAAAAAAAACGACAAACATTTAAATCTCATAAACATTTAAATCTCATAATCGAACAAAACTGACAAATATTTAAATTGAAAAAAAACGACAAACATTTAAATCTCATAAACATTTAAATCTCATAATCGAACAAAACTGACAAATATTTAAATTGAAAAAAAACGACAAACATTTAAATCTCATAAACATTTAAATCTCATAATCGAACAAAACTGACAAATATTTAAATTGAAAAAAAACGACAAACATTTAAATCTCATAAACATTTAAATCTCATAATCGAACAAAACTGACAAATATTTAAATTGAAAAAAAACGACAAACATTTAAATCTCATAAACATTTAAATCTCATAATCGAACAAAACTGACAAATATTTAAATTGAAAAAAAACGACAAACATTTAAATCTCATAAACATTTAAATCTCATAATCGAACAAAACTGACAAATATTTAAATTGAAAAAAAACGACAAACATTTAAATCTCATAAACATTTAAATCTCATAATCGAACAAAACTGACAAATATTTAAATTGAAAAAAAACGACAAACATTTAAATCTCATAAACATTTAAATCTCATAATCGAACAAAACTGACAAATATTTAAATTGAAAAAAAACGACAAACATTTAAATCTCATAAACATTTAAATCTCATAATCGAACAAAACTGACAAATATTTAAATTGAAAAAAAACGACAAACATTTAAATCTCATAAACATTTAAATCTCATAATCGAACAAAACTGACAAATATTTAAATTGAAAAAAAACGACAAACATTTAAATCTCATAAACATTTAAATCTCATAATCGAACAAAACTGACAAATATTTAAATTGAAAAAAAACGACAAACATTTAAATCTCATAAACATTTAAATCTCATAATCGAACAAAACTGACAAATATTTAAATTGAAAAAAAACGACAAACATTTAAATCTCATAAACATTTAAATCTCATAATCGAACAAAACTGACAAATATTTAAATTGAAAAAAAACGACAAACATTTAAATCTCATAAACATTTAAATCTCATAATCGAACAAAACTGACAAATATTTAAATTGAAAAAAAACGACAAACATTTAAATCTCATAAACATTTAAATCTCATAATCGAACAAAACTGACAAATATTTAAATTGAAAAAAAACGACAAACATTTAAATCTCATAAACATTTAAATCTCATAATCGAACAAAACTGACAAATATTTAAATTGAAAAAAAACGACAAACATTTAAATCTCATAAACATTTAAATCTCATAATCGAACAAAACTGACAAATATTTAAATTGAAAAAAAACGACAAACATTTAAATCTCATAAACATTTAAATCTCATAATCGAACAAAACTGACAAATATTTAAATTGAAAAAAAACGACAAACATTTAAATCTCATAAACATTTAAATCTCATAATCGAACAAAACTGACAAATATTTAAATTGAAAAAAAACGACAAACATTTAAATCTCATAAACATTTAAATCTCATAATCGAACAAAACTGACAAATATTTAAATTGAAAAAAAACGACAAACATTTAAATCTCATAAACATTTAAATCTCATAATCGAACAAAACTGACAAATATTTAAATTGAAAAAAAACGACAAACATTTAAATCTCATAAACATTTAAATCTCATAATCGAACAAAACTGACAAATATTTAAATTGAAAAAAAACGACAAACATTTAAATCTCATAAACATTTAAATCTCATAATCGAACAAAACTGACAAATATTTAAATTGAAAAAAAACGACAAACATTTAAATCTCATAAACATTTAAATCTCATAATCGAACAAAACTGACAAATATTTAAATTGAAAAAAAACGACAAACATTTAAATCTCATAAACATTTAAATCTCATAATCGAACAAAACTGACAAATATTTAAATTGAAAAAAAACGACAAACATTTAAATCTCATAAACATTTAAATCTCATAATCGAACAAAACTGACAAATATTTAAATTGAAAAAAAACGACAAACATTTAAATCTCATAAACATTTAAATCTCATAATCGAACAAAACTGACAAATATTTAAATTGAAAAAAAACGACAAACATTTAAATCTCATAAACATTTAAATCTCATAATCGAACAAAACTGACAAATATTTAAATTGAAAAAAAACGACAAACATTTAAATCTCATAAACATTTAAATCTCATAATCGAACAAAACTGACAAATATTTAAATTGAAAAAAAACGACAAACATTTAAATCTCATAAACATTTAAATCTCATAATCGAACAAAACTGACAAATATTTAAATTGAAAAAAAACGACAAACATTTAAATCTCATAAACATTTAAATCTCATAATCGAACAAAACTGACAAATATTTAAATTGAAAAAAAACGACAAACATTTAAATCTCATAAACATTTAAATCTCATAATCGAACAAAACTGACAAATATTTAAATTGAAAAAAAACGACAAACATTTAAATCTCATAAACATTTAAATCTCATAATCGAACAAAACTGACAAATATTTAAATTGAAAAAAAACGACAAACATTTAAATCTCATAAACATTTAAATCTCATAATCGAACAAAACTGACAAATATTTAAATTGAAAAAAAACGACAAACATTTAAATCTCATAAACATTTAAATCTCATAATCGAACAAAACTGACAAATATTTAAATTGAAAAAAAACGACAAACATTTAAATCTCATAAACATTTAAATCTCATAATCGAACAAAACTGACAAATATTTAAATTGAAAAAAAACGACAAACATTTAAATCTCATAAACATTTAAATCTCATAATCGAACAAAACTGACAAATATTTAAATTGAAAAAAAACGACAAACATTTAAATCTCATAAACATTTAAATCTCATAATCGAACAAAACTGACAAATATTTAAATCTCAAAATCGAAAAAAAAAGACTAATATTTAAATCTCAAAATCGAACAAAACCAACAAATATTTAAATGTAATAATCGAACAAAACTGACAAATATTTAAATCTAAAAAAAAACAAAAGCAAACAAAACCGACAAACAATTAAATGTCAAAATCGAACAAAACCAGCCAATATTTAAATCTTGTAACTGAACAAAACCAACCAATATTATATCAAACAAAACTAATCAACATGTAAAGCTCGTATTCGAAAAAACAACAACCAATATTTAAATCTCAAAACTGAAACCAAGCCGTTCACACACAACGCATATTTATTGCATTTTCTCGAGGGACATGTATCACCGCTGCACTCGTGTCTCGCACAAGAGACGCATGTTTAGAAAGCCATTAATGTAAGTTCAACTTTCAAAAAACACGTCTCCAGACTTTATGGGGGCTTTCCCATCCATCCCACTGCATCTCATGTTTTTAAATGAAGAAAGTACTCTTTGTGATTGGTTTTCGGTCCTTTGTATTAAACTATACATACATACATGATGTTGTTTTGTTTCTAATTGTTTAAGCAACTTAATGAATTATATATGGTTTATAAATATTAAGTTAAACATTATGCACTTTTTTCAAAGATAGTCGTGTTATTTTATTACTTTGAAGAAACGTGCATTAAACATGCATTAGTAATATTTTGCTCGATGCGCCCTCTTGTGGCCTCGAGAGAGAAGACAAAAGCGTTTATCCCCCTCTAACTGAAATGATGCCTTTTAAAAAAGCGTTTATCCCCCTCTAACTGAAATGATGCCTTTTAAATTCGAATATAATTAGAATATTGATAATATTTAAGTACAAAATTCGAATTCAGTTTTTCAGCCATTTTGACATGTTAACACACGCTGTTCTTCCCGCAGATCGTGCTGGTGTTTCCC